CTCCAGCAAGATTTTTTTGTAGATAAGAGCAAATTTATTCTACAACTTAAATGGAAAAGCAGAGGAACTGTAATAGCTAAAACAACTTTGAAAAAGAAGAAAAAAATTGTGAGGAATCAAACTACCAGGTTTCAAGACTTATTATCAGTAATACAGAATGTGTGGTATTGTTGGGAACATAGACATAAAGATCAAAGAAAAGGGAGAGCCCCAAAATGCACCTAACTTCTGATAAAGATGCCCAACTGACTTCTGGTGAAGATGTAAAAGCAATTCAATCAAGGAAAGGTAGATTTTTCAACAAATGGTGCTGGAACAGTCAGATATCCAAAGGCATTCAATAGATAGATTAGATAGAGAGACAGCTAAACAGACAGATGGAATCTTGACTTAAACCTTACAACTTTCAAAGAACTTAAAAAGGATCATAGGTTTAAAATACAAAACTATATACACACACATATATACATATGTTCTATTTGATTTCTTTATATTAGATACAGAGTAACTGAACTCATTTTCCTCTTGAATACAAGAGAAGAAGAAAAAACCAGGAGGAATATAAGGAGGAAGAGGAAGGGGGGAAAGGAGAACGATGAGAAGAAACCAAAATAGTATAGGATAAACATGATACCTATAAAAAACAGCCTCGTATAGAACCAAGGAAGAGTTTATAATGGCACCCTTGAAACGTTTGAGCACTTGAAGTTCAGCATACTAGGAAAGCTTGCATAGTATATCAAATGTAAAATCCAATTTTCTAGTTCAATGGGGAAAAATGAACACATTGTATAATTATGCTTATGTCATTGGGCTTGTTTCAAAACATTGATGCAAGAAATTTCAGTCTCATAAGAAAATTACACACACAGTAAACCTTTGGCTGTTTAAAACTTTTAAAATATTTTGTTTTGTTTCTATTAAGGTGTTAACTACACGGAAAGTGAAATTATTTAACTGTCAGATACAGAGTCCGCCCTGTAGGTAGCACTTATTTGTCCTATTAGAACAGCTTCCTCATGGATGATTTTGGTTTCTCACGTTCCTAGTAAATTTGTATTCCATCTTTATACAAGAGATGGTTGTCAAATGACCTTGGATAACTACTAGTTATCCTACTTCAGCAGATATGACTGTAGTATGTGGACAATATTTTGTGTTTTGGTTCAATAACTCCATCACTATTTATTATAATTATTTTGACAAAAATCACACCCTTTATTTTAGGTTTTCTAATCTATGCAAAAAAAATTAATTATTGATATTTACTGAGGAAAGATAGTAAAAGGAGGATTATGAGATGAAAAGAGAAACAGAGGAGCAAAAGAAAAAGAGATCCCTTGCATTTCTGGTTCCCAGTTTGTGGGCTTCAGATACCTGGGGAGCCATGAGCTTTTTTGAGTTGGCCGTTAATACAAATAATTATTAAGCATTGTCTGTGTATTCTTATAGCATTTCACATGCATGGTCTTTTGAAGTACAAGAATGCTTTGATTGATAGTATGCAAATTAATTTTAAAATGCTGCTATGCTACAATTTGATCTTTTTCATAATGTGTTTTCTTAATGTACAAATGCTAAAAATAAAACTACTATTTTGTATTTTCCCAGTATCTTTCCTCATCCTCAGATAGGTTGGAAACTACTTCTTTATATCACTAATATCCGTAAGTGCTGCGTGTTTGCAATAGTTTTACCTTTCCGGATAAAATCTATGCATCACGTTCAGTGTGAGACTGGGGATTACAAGTAACAAATCATACGTGAGTTCCTGATCACCTTCTTATAATCTTATAGTATATTGGCCCATTACCCTAGGCTTTCAGAGTAGGCAGAGGCATAAAAATCTCATCAAAAAGGAAAAAAAAAGAAGCCAAGCTTCTCAGACTGTGAAGAGACTAAATGAGGTAACAACAGAGGAAAATGTGTTCAGATTATCTCCAGAGTATCTTTGTAAAAGACCCAGAGCAGGGATTGTAAATACAAATACAAATACACTGGACTGAATAGTAATTGCTTTTGTTTCACTGTCCTGCATTTCCCTAAACTCACACCCTTACTCAAACATATTCTTTGACGTGTTTGACATATTTAAAGTGATTAGCCTAAATGATTTCAACAGTTTTTACCACATCTCCATGAGATGATTAAATGATCCTAATCAAAGCAGTTTTTTCCTTACAGTGACTTGCATTGTAAATAAATGCAGTGTCTGTTCTTCCAATATTCTTCTTCATGTGACTAATGTCAGGCTACGGCTTGGTCTATTAGTTTATCCTAATGAGTGTGTACCCAGGAATATCCATGACAGCTCAGCCCATCTTTCTGTTAATATGCACATTTTACTTTATAGGAATTATCCTAAGATCGTTTCTAATTTTTTTGTAGTCATGAAGCTAGGAGGAACTCAATTTCATATATAACTTGTGATTGTGTGACTTTGGTTCTCACCCTATGACAAAATCCTGGTTAAAAAAAATAGAATGATGAGCACTTAAAAACTTGCTACTAGAAGTTGTCAGTTTTTATTATAAGTTGTTATTGGAGTAAAGATTTCAGCCCTATATTCTTTAGCTGAATATAGTATATATTCAGTATATTTTTATATACTAACACTTTTTTTTTGGTTGGGGAGCATATAGTTAGATTTATGTATTTACTTTAGTGGAGGTTCTAGAGATTGAACCCAAGACCTCTTGCATGCTAAGCGTGTGCTCTACCACTGAGCTGTACCCTCCTCACACCTGTACTAAGACTTTTGACAAAGCCTGAACTAAAGCCTTTAAGAGCAGAAGTCGTGATCAGAATTTGGCCAATATATTTCCCTATTATGGATGTTACACTTGTTTTGACTTTATCTTCAAGAGATTCATGAAACACTGTTGTAATTACATTGCTGCAACAGAGATTAATGGAGTTGGGAGAATATACGGAATCTTGGACTCCAGAGTACAGGGTACACTGTAAAGCATTAAACGGTAATGAGTGAGTAAGGTAAATTCTGTGTGTGTGTGCATGTGTGTGTAGATTTCTTTCTATGATTTAAAGAGTTTGTTGAATGCTTCCTAGACTACTTTGATCTAAAATTCAATATATAACTAAATCCTATGTCCTTCTCTTGCCACTGGCAAGCGCCACTCTTTCTCTGCTTCTGTGAGTTTGACTATTTTAGACTTGTCACATGAGTGGGAGAATTTAGTATTCTTTTCAACAAAAAAACAAAAACCAAAAGCAAATAAACAACTATAGAAGGTCATAAGGAAACTTTCTGCAGGAGATTGATTGCAGTGATGGTTTCATGAGTATGTATATGCTCAAAGACATCAAATTGTATACATTAAACATGCAGTTTTTGTATATCAAGTATAACTCAATAAAGTGAAATATGTCTATACTATATATTATAATATTGTATATGATATATATATTTTTATGTTTTATATATTTTATTTTATCTGCTTCAGAGACAGTACCTAGGTTTTTATTCCCCGTATATTCTATCACTATAGGTAATCTATGTTCATTCCTCAATATGTTAATTTTATTTTATGAGATATAGAAGACTCCAGATCTGCTCAGAATTTCCTTAGATCAAATGGAACCATATTTCTACATAGTCAGAGATGATAATGATTTATTTGCAAAGATTTTTATCTCAGAAAAATTTAAAGTTTTGCTTCAGGCTTTCAATTAATAGAGGACATGTTAATTAGGAGGAAGAAACCCAACTTTATGTTGTAATGTATGTGTGTTTAGTGAATACACTAAAATACTTCATCCTTGGCTCTAATCGAGACATGTTGAAGTTTAGGGAACTGTTAAACATTTAGTCTCTCTTTCTCTCTCTCTATGTATATATATGAAATCTATTATTATGTAAAAACTTAAATAAACTGACATGTTAATTATGATTAATTTTATTGTTATACAATTACTGTTCCAGTTTTATTATTGAATTTATGTAGGGAGTGAATTAACAATACTTAGGTCATTTTAATTCATATGGTAAATTAGTACTAATTTTTCTATTGTTATTACTCAGAACAAAAATAAATTAATCTGCTATAACATTTGGCAGGCTGCAAGCCTTCAGAGTTCACTCATTACATTTTGCTTTTATAAAAATGCCACAAAATATAATTAATGACAAGAACACTTCATTGGTATATTCCATCATCAGGTGATATTGCTACACTTAAAATTCTGTTCTGGATCTCTACATAGTGTCAAGTTATATAAATTGCCTCTACTTGCCATCTTCACTTTTAAACTAGTTATTGACACAAGAGGGAGGACACTGAGTGATTTGACACTCAGTTCAGGAAGCCTTTACTTGTTATCTTAAAATGGCTCTGGTGCCTGGGACATAATTGGAGGCTTAAGACTGGATGACAGAATTGACAAACCTATTACCAAACCTGCCAAGAAAACACACAATTCGTACTGTTTTCCTTGTTTTATTCATTCATGTAACAATTCAATTTTACAACAATGTTACGTCTCTTCAGGCAAAACATTTGAAGTCATTCATTAGACCTCACTGGTTGTTAAAGACACTTAAACTTTGGTCTCCCAATTTGTGTTACTACCCTAGGTATGCTGGAAATCCAGAAGAGGAAGCAGCTGGAAATATTTGAATGCTGGAGTGAGTAGACTTGTAAAATGGAAAATTGAATGAAATACTACCTATGTAGAGAGATTTATTAGGATGTATGTGTCCATAATTATAAATGTTGGGCAACTTAAATATCTATTAGAGAAGAAGTCATGGAAATCCACAGGTTTTAGAATAGTACATTTCTAATATCCTGGAGAAGTTATTAGAAGAATTTTCATTTTATTGTCTGTTATCAGGTTCGCAAGGTGATTTTGTTTGCAAACCAACAGTTTTATTCCACTGAGGATACAAATATACAAAGGGAAAAAAAATGTACTCAGGCGAAGTATTTCAGTGTAGAAGGAAAGAAAAAAAATTAAGAAAGTCATACAAAATACAAGTTGCATTTTTATATATCACAGTTTTTTGCAAAATAGAAATTGGAAATACTAGTTTGGTAAGACTAGAGTTCAGGATATGTGTGTATGCACTGGGCAGAAGGAAGGTGCCAGGATAAATAGAGGGATGAGAAACTTAGATTCCTAATTTAACACTTTTTATATTGACATTTGAAAACTTTGAGACTAAGAAGTAGCACATGATTCATAAAGTCACTAAGCTAGTTGTGTCAGGCCTCCTGCCTATTAATTGTTACTCTTTTCATTTTCCTACATATGAATTTAAAGTTTTAACAACCAGCACTGATTTGTTTTACTTTTTGGTAATAATTAATAATTCTATTATTTGGTGGATTTTATTTCAACACCTACTTATACAAGACAATATAATTTGGGATAAAATTAAATACAGAAGTTAAACTAATATCTTGTTATTTTCTTTCAAGTTAAAATAGAGAAGGAATGCTTTCAATTAGGATTTAGAAAGCCATAAGAGAGAAATCACTCATACGCTAACATCTAGATAATCTACAAAATCATAACTTTTCTTGAGCTCATTATAGATATGAGATTACAAGTCAACCAGGTGAACTGAAGTCCATAGTACAATAAATTCCTCCAAGGAATGAGGAGACACAGAAACCATTTCTCCTTTGGTACAATAATAGGTAAGAGCCATAAAAGCAGGTAAGAAGAAATTAAGCAAAATTATAATACAGTCTTTAAGACTGAGTGTGGGCCAATGTGACTGTTTAGAATCTCTGAGAGTTCCAGACAAAAGGAGAGTCTGGATGCACTTGGAGGGTCTGTCCCTGAAAAAAGATCACACACAGGTCATCTATTTATGGGCATAACATAGATCATCTTTAGAATACCTGTGATCTCTTTGTTCAAGTAAATAGATGGCAAGACGGAGAATTTTACTAGATAACTGAAATCTATGAAATAAGAATCAGAAAGAAATTTTAGAATTTAAAGTTACAAACATTGGAAATAAGATGTCAGTAGATGGGTTTAAGCAGAATAAGCACAGCATAAAGAAGGTTACAAAATTAGAAGACATAGCAATAGAAAACATCCAGCCAGAATCAGATTCATGGAGAGGAAAAAAAGGATGAAAAATTTAGAAAGGATGGTGATAAATTATAATCTATATAAATTATATATATATATGTATGTATGTATGTATACACACACACACACGCACACATGCATGCACACACACACACACACACACACACATTCATCGGATGGATTAGAGACAATGGAAAAGTTTGAGCTAGAGTTTTTCAAAACTGAGCCAGAGTTTTTCAAAACTGAAATAAGATATGAACCATAAACTCAGCAGTTTATCCTGCTTAGGACTCAAGCAGAATAAATGCATTATCTTTCTCTTGCACATTATAGTGAAACTAATGAATATCAAAACAAAGAGAAAATGCTTAAGCAGCCAAAGGAAAAAAGATATTATCCTCAAAGCAATAGCAATAAGGCTACAGCTGACTTTATAAAGAGAATATAGAAGCCTCGGGAAAATGGAATAACTTTTTTAAAATGTTGAAAGGAAACAGCTGTTAATATCCATTGCTATATATTTTTTTAAATCCTTCTAATTAAAGATGAAATAAAGGAATTTTCAGACCATCAAAATGAGAGATTTTATCACATTTTTTCCCTGAGCTAAACTAAATACCAAATGAAGCTGTTCAGGTCAAAATAAAGTTACTCCAGATAAAACATAGTAATACAGGAAGGCAAAAAAGGAGGACAACAGAAAGGTGATAAATGTAGTTAAATATAAATAAATACTGACTATGCAAAAGTAATAATAGCAAATCTAGTAGGGGGTAGAAATATGTAAAATTAATATGCAAGACAATAATAATACAAAATAAGAGAAAGTAGGAAAAAGAATTAAAGGGTCCTGAAGCAGTACTCTCCAGGAGACCTGCCAGCATTTACATAAATGTTCTATTGTGAGCTATCCAAAAAGGTAGACACCAACCACTCATATCTGTTAAGCACTAGTAATGTAGTGAATGCAACTGAAAAACTGAATTTTTAATTTTATTTGAGTTCAATTTATATTTAGATGGCCACATGTATCTAGTGGCTACCATATTGAACGTTAAAGTTCTAAAGATATTTGTGTTGCCCAGAAAGTACTAATTCACACTAAGTTGTAAAAAAAAACTGAGGGTGTAAGTTTTACACTTAAAATAACCACTAAATGAATAGTAAAAGAGTTAATACCTAACAAGCTTATAGGAGGTTAAGAATTAAACAATTTAAAAAGTAATCTAAAAGGTCAGAAATGAGACACAAGGGAACAGAAAACTTGATAATACATAAATTACAACATGTATAAATATTAGTTCTTCAATACTCACATTAAATTTAAATTTACTAAACACTCCAAATTGCAGACTCTCTTATCTGGCCTAGTACTGAAATGGTCAATGTATATGTAGTGTTTCTAAATTTTGTTTAACTTAGAAATCTTAGCCTTGATATTCCCATAGTATCAACAACCACAAGAACTATCTTTTCCTTTTAAATTCCAAAATTATTCCAAAACTGGATCTTCTGCCATAATTTTTATAATTTTTTCATTGATAATTCACTTTCATATACATATATGCATGTATTTTTAATCATTGGAAGGAAATAAATAAATAAACAAACAAACAAACAAATAAATAACGGCTGCCTGCATGAGAATGCTTCTAAATGTGCTGCTAATCTTGAAGCTTTGATTAACCTGATTATGTCTGACAGATTCCCAGGCCCAAGCCTAAAACTTATTTTGAGAATCAACATGTTTCCTGAATTTTTAATAGAGACTTTGCCAGTACATCAAAGCAAAGCAAATCACATCTATTGAGTGCCCAGAGAGGGAGGAAAAAGTAAAAATGTGCCCCTCCATATGTCATATGGAGATGTTTCTTACAATCACCATCCTTCCAATGCTCTGCATTAAAGACAATTATTTTTTGATCATCAGAGAAGATGGTGGAGTAGTAGGACGCTTGTGGCTCACTCTCTCCCACAGATGCACTAAGACTCACATCCATGGACCCACTTAGCCAACCAGAGCACCTGTGGAACTCCAACAGAACATCGTCCTCTTCAAAAGAGAAAGACGCCAAAAATGTGTTTTGTTTCTACATAGGCATTAGATAGATAAAGAAATAAACTCCTTTAAGGACCACAATAGATAACTGATACTGCATAAACCACAGTGCCAGAGAGATATGAGCAAGATGAAGAAGCAGAGAAACCATTCCCAATTAAAAGAACAAGAGAAATCCCCTAAAAGAACAATCAATGAAATAGACATTGATAGCCTACTAGATCAAGATTTCAAAAAAGGAATGATCAAAGTGCTGAAGGAACTAAAAGAGATAGTGTTTAGAGATATAAAATATGTCAAAAATGAAATAGAAGCTATAAAGAAGAACCAAGTAGAATTGGTAAACTCATTGGCTGAGATGGGAACTGATCTAAAGACTGTACAAAGCAGACTAGATAATGCAGAGGAGAGGAACGAATAAGTGACCTAGAAAGGACAACAGAAAGCACCCAATCAGAACAATTGCAAGATAAACAAATAAAAACAAATGAAAACAATATAAGGGACCTGTGGGATAAAAGTGTGCCAATCTTTGCATAATAGGAGTCCCAGAAGGGGAAGAAAGAACAAAGGGGATTGGAAAGGTATTTGAAGAAATCATGACTGAAAACTTCCCAAACTTAAAGAAGGAATCTGATATCCAAGTACAGGAAGTTCAAAGGGTCCCAAACAGGAAGAACCGAAACAGGCCCACACCAAGACATATCATAATCAAGATGGCCAGAGTCAAGAATAAAGAAATGATCCTAAAGGCAGCAAGAGAAAAACAAAGAGTGAGTTACAAGGTAACCCCCATAAGGCTCTCAGCTGATTTCTCTACACAGACACTACAGGCCAGAAGGGAGTGGCAAGATATATTCAAAGTCCTGAATGCAAAAAAAAAAAAAAAAAGCAGCCTAGTATACTTTATACAGCAAGGCTATCCTTTAGGATAGAAGGAGAGATAAAGAATTTCACAGACAAGCAAAAACTGAAAGAGTTTAGCAATACTAAACCCATGCTAAAAGAAATATTGAAAGGTCTACTCTAAATAGAAAACCAGCAGGATGCTACAGAAATGAGAAGCTCATAACTGGAAAGGTGATAACTCCTGAATTACAAATAAAATAAACATGAAATTGTAAAAGAAGACATCTAAATCATTAAGAGTGGGAGAGGGAAGCAAGAAAATATAGAGTATTTTTTTTCTTTCTTTTTTACATTTTTTGTTTTCAGTAGGATGGGTTCGAGATATAGTAATGGGCTAATAAACTTACAGAAAAGGGTAACCACAAGCCAGAAACTTACAAGGGAGTCACTAAAGCTAAATAAAATCCATGATAATAGAAAGGAAAATTACCAAACCACAAAAGGAAGAAGAAAGGAACAAAGAGGAAATATCAAATCAACTGCAAAGGTAAGTTCAAAATGGCAGTAAACACACATCTATCATTAATTACTGTAAATGGACTAAATGCTCCAGTCAAAAGACATAGAGTGGCAGACTGGATATAAAAGAAAAGAACCTTTAATATGCTGCATACAAGAGACCCACTTTAGGGAGAAGGACACATATAGATTGAGAGTGAAAGGATGGAAAAGGATATTCCATGCAAATGGAAAAGCCAAAAAAGCAGGTGTTGCACTACTGATTTCAGACAAAATAGGCTTTAAAACAAAGGCCATAAAGAAAGATAAAGAAGGTCATTTTATAATGGTTGAAGGAGGATATTACACTTGTCAATATATATGCACCCAATATAAGAGCACCTAAATACATAAAACAATTACTAACAGAGATAAAGGGGGATATTGATGGGAATACAATCATAGTTGGAGATTTTAACACCGCATTAACATCACTAGACAGATCTTCCAGACAGAAAATAAATAAGGCGACAGAGAAACTAAATAATACAATAGAAAAATTAGATTTGGTGGATATTTTCAGAGCATTACACCCCCCAAAAATAGGATATACATTCTTTTCAATTGCACATGGAACATTTTCCAGGATTGATCATGTACTTGGGCACAAAAGAAACCTCAACAACTTTAAGAAGACAGAAATTAT